AGCCTTGAGCCAGAAAGCGCGGACGGGCAAGACTTCGTGAGTGATGCATCCTTCGACCATGAGCCTGAAACCCCAAACTTAAACCCCTAACCCTGACAACTGAACCCAGTGCCCTTTAGGCCAAACCCCCTAAAGAAAAAGACAGAGGGTTAGCTTCGCGGAAGGGATAATCAGATCTTTGAGTTTGGGCTTTACTAGAGGGGTCGGAGTAAGCAGTACATGTTTCTCCTTCTTCGAGTCCCAATAGAGTTTTAGTGGTACTGGGAATGACCCCCGAACCATCTTCTTTGTCTTTCTTTAGGTTTTAGGGTTTTGGGTGTGGGGTCTAGTAACACCTCAGAAAACCTTCAAAACCCGAAGTCGAGACCCAAGAAATGAAGAGCAACAAGTACGCCCGAACGGCTAGTGCCCTGAAGCAACGAACATAGGCTTTGGAATAATTGATATTCTTATCTCCTTATCGCCCCCTACGCAAGTCCAGTATACTGTAAGATCTCCCACAACCCTGTTCCTATCATCAAGGCCCCCATAAGACTTTCAAGCCCACGAGGCTTGAATCAGACCACAAGGCTGTGAAACTCTCTTCTAAAAGCATCCCGCAGTTTTTTTAGAATGCGTTGCTCGCACCTATACCAAAAAAATCCGACAAATCTTACACCTCTGCCGCCCGAACCCCAAGAAACCTAGAATCAGAAATCCCTGGATCATTTTACATCCTGAAGGCAGACCTAAACCCCAAAACCCCGAACCCGAAAGCCCTGAAACCTCGAGCCCTCAAGCAGGTTCAGCTCTCACGGGCCCTGGTCCGCGTGCCTGATGCCCAGAACGCCGGAGTTTGGTGTTGCTTGGGATTAAGGTTTGTATTTGGAGCTGCCCCCACCCTGTAATAGTGACTATAAGGATGATATTCGGGCCGTATTATATTCCTAGTATACCACTATTACAAGGTGGGGGCCCCTTCTAAGGTTTGTAGTTCAGTGTTCAGGACGGCTTGTTAATGCATATGCAAGTTCGGGTTTCTTGAAAATGGGGTCGTCTTTGGGGTGACGTACTCTGTCAGGGGCAAAACAAGGTTTTGATTCAAGAATCTAGCCATGCATGTCTGCCTTTGCCAGTCAGTAACCATGCTTCTGAATTTCTTATGTGAAGTCATTTCTTTGCAAGTTTCCAGCTGTCATCCGTGTTGATAGACGGAGAGGCAGACATATCGAAAAAGGTTTGGCTAGCTGCAGACCGTTGTTGCGTTCAGGCAAACTCTCAATCCTGAAACCCTAAAGTCCTAAATCCTGAATCCGAAACCCTAAAGCCCTCAAACCCTCGAGCCTTAGCCTATAACTTCTCAATCCACCAGCTTCTGAAGTATTTTCATCGAAATCCTGCTATATAAGGCTCTTAACCTATTATAGACTGCTCCTTTTTGGGACCCAGTAGAATCCCTTATAGATCCCATTAAGGGACCCTAATTAAAAGCTGTTACTACATCTCAACCCTGAACCCTGATCGCTAAACCGTACCCTAAACCCTTAAACCCCTAAATTCCTAAATTAAACCCTACACTCTCATCCCTAAACCCCTAAACCCCTAAACCCTAAACCCCTAAACCCCTTAAACCCCCAAAGCCCCTAAAACCCTAAACCCCAAAAGCCCCTAAACCCCTAAACCCCCAAAAGCCCCTAAACCCCTAAGCCCCAAAACCCCCTAAACCCTAAAACCCCTAAACCCCAAAACCCCCAAACCCCCTGTGACTACCTGGGACCCAAGTGCCCAAGTCCTTCATTCATTCACACACCTCATTTATCGACTTCCTTTGAAGGTTCCTTCCTTTAATTCCTTCTGCATGTTTTTGTTTCTTACCTGCAGCCCAAGTCCTTAGAAATCCCCGGACCGGACCAAGGCCTGGGCTCCTGCGGAAGATGGGAAGCACCAGGCCAGGCTCTTCCTGCTGATGATGTATAGTACATAAAAAACAATTATATATATAGATAAGTATAAATACAAATATATCTATATATATGTGTATATATATATATGAGGATATACTATGATAGAAGAATGTAATATGTCATAATATTTGATGATAATGTCCAACATCCAAAACCCTAAGCCCCCCTCCTCTTCCCCTTCCCCCGATGCCCCTGCCAGGCATGGCCATCAGGCGGCCAAGAAGGTGCTGAAGACCCTCACAGGCCCCGAGCATGAGGCGAGCCCGGCGTTGGTTGTGTGTGTATGTGTGTGTTTTGTTTTCGTGATCTTAGTTTAATTTCTTTATCGACTCTTTGATTTAGAAAGATGGGTTTCAGGGTTTCTGGTTTTTTTTGTGTTTTAATGTTTTAGTGGTTTCTAAGTTTTCAGGTTTCAGGGCTGAGACCTTTCAAGTTTTGGTTGAAGGTTTCTTTTGGCTCTGATGTTTGGCTGTATACGGTTTTTTAGTCTGAGGTTTTGTCTGTATTCTAGCAGCTTCAGTAGGGAGGGTTGTAGTGAAGTTCCGCACACAGAAGAGTTGCGCTATCTGCTGCTACGGTCTAAGTCTCTCTCTGTTTCTGTAGCTTCGAAGCCCCTGTCTACTACGGAAGCATGGATAGTCGTCAACACTGTTCCTTAGGGCTCTGTATCAGTTCATAGCCCGGAAACTCTCCCAAAGTTCTTGGTCCAGCTATTTAGGTCCCTAAATATAGTTATGTAGGTCAATTTAGGTCCCTAAATATAGTTATGTAGGTCAGTGCTGTGGTCTGAGAGGCATCTGCATAGCAAGCCCCTGTTTCGTGCAAGAACCTCCACTTTCTTGTAAAGGATGCCACTAGGCCCTATAATTTCTTTAAGGGTTCCATATGCATTCTATAGATTCTATACAGGGTTCTCGAAACATGCAGAGGCCCTCTGAACCCATCTGAAACCCTAAGACCCAAACCGTGAATGCCAGATTGAACATGAATATGCCCTAGCCCTTAACCTTCGAGCCGCCTTCTTCTTCCTGCAGGATGCGCGGTTTCAGCTTTATGGGGGCGAGGCAGCTGAGTGTGGACCTCAACAGAGGGGAGTTCAGGTTTTCGGGGCTTCGGGTTTTGGATCGGGTGTTGAGGGTTTTGTTTGGCCTGGGGTTTAGTGTCTGCGTTCATGGCTTAGCGATCAGACTCATGTGGTGCAGGGCTGAGGGGTTGCAGGCAGGTGTGCAAATTTAGGGTTGTAGCTCTGACTGTGTGAACCAGTTTTCAGAAGTCTCACGAAGAACTGCTCACAGTCTGTCTGTCCTCACTTGTTTCCGTAGCCTGCGGCTATGAATGCGGAAACGCGCGGAAACACTGTTCTCGGTGCCTGAGGTCTCGAAGGAAGACTACGCGCCAGGTGCTCAGGCAGTGTTGTGGTAGGCACAACCTTACAACTGTATCTGAACGGTAGATGGCAGAAGCTACATGACATAGTTAGAATAAAAATGGTGATGGTCGCTATAGGGGTACACTGATAGTAGCATATGGCTGCAGGTAGAGTACTTAAACAGCTTGACTCGTTCCATGGTGATTGACAATTATACGGGTAGTCGCAGAATATTGCAGCCAATAGCAACAGCAGAATGTAGTAGTTCGCTACCAGAGCGGACGTGTAAATCCTGGGGTTTAGGATGTTTTCAAGGGCCGAATTTTGGTTTTGGAGAGGGTTCGGACATTTTGGGTCGAAAGTTTTGGGTTCGCGGTTCTTTCAATAAAAGTTACCCAAACGCTGGAATGTGCCACACTGCTAAATGCTTTCCGTGGTTCTAGTAAGTTAAATCCGGTACTTCACAATCGCATAAAGGCTCCTATCGAACCTAGAAAGCGCTGATTAACCAAAGCCCTATAGAACCAATTTCAAGCCTACAAAGCCCTACAGAACCCTAAACCCTAAACTCTAAAACCCTAAACACTAAACACTAAACCCTACAGACACCTTTTTCAAACCTACTCGATGCTTTTAGAACTAGACCTCCATACAAGGGACCGGGGCCTTGGACCAACAAAGCGCCAAGAGCCTCCGTTCTTGTTTAAGGTTCCTTGAAAGGGGTCTGTAAGGGTTACTAAAAGGGATCTATAAGGGTAATTTAGGAACCTAATTTAGAAACCTTAGGCTCTTATTAGGGTTCCGTATTTGAACCCTATTTTTTCGGGGTAAAAGGCCCGGGGTTTCTTAATCAAATTCCCACATTACTTTTGTGATCTTCTGTGCTTAACACCAATCAACATGACTGTTCTTCTCCTTCTTCTTCTTATAGCTATCTATGTTTCGCACTGTTATGATTATGTTCGTGCTTAACCAGAGATCCCTAGGCGCAGAGGGTTTTAGAGGCCATCTACCATCTTGGAGCCTTGCAAGAAGATACGCTTGAAAGCCAGAAAGGGTAGGTACATATGCATGCATGTACATGTTTATTTGTGTGTCGTAGGGGGGCATCGTCAGGCCCCCATTATACCCTGAACCCTAAACTCCCTAAACCGTAAAGCTTAAATCTGCAGACAAAACACTCCAAAACCCCAAACCCAAAACAACCCTAAACCCTGAACACGACAGCCTCTCGCAGCTCAGGCTCGATGACGGTGTCGACCATGTCGAGTGAGAGCTGAACATGCACGAGGCCGCTGAGGGGCTCTTTTTTTGTTTGGTTCCCAAGAAGGTTTCTGGAAGGGTTTAGGGTTTGAAGGTTAGGGTTTAGAGGTTTAGGGTTTAGGGGTTAGGGGTTAGGGGTTTAGGGTTTTTTTGAAGGATTTCTCTATCCCCTTGGGTTGATGGTTCCACCATCTCGAATTCAGTTGGCCATGGCTTATGGTTGCATGGCACAGCGACTCTTTTTACGACAAGCGAATGTCCTTCAACTGCTGTGTTTGACATGTCTATACATTCAGCCTTGACAAGTCTGTCGCTAGGTTGTACAAGTTTGCGAACTGTTGCCTTGTCTGCTGACTGTTGTCTTTGACAAAAACTCCATGACTCAAGGGCCTTAGCGTAGCCTTCCCTTGGGTCGAAGCGGCGAATCACTGCACGTCGTCCTGATCGGCTGAGGGCTGCTTTCACACTCCTCCTCACTTGTGCCGTCAGGTTCTTAGTGCTATCACTCCATCGCCTTCAGCCGTGCAATAGTCCTGGACGTTTCCGTCCTCGTTGCGATGTTTCTCCAGGTCAATAGCACACGGCCTGTCAGATTACGGTCTCGCCACAACCACAATATGTATCGTAGTTGCCTCGTAGTAGGCCCTGTGTTCCCGCCCAGCTGACTCACCAGGATGTCCGACAACCTGGTAGCAGCATCGAGCTTCAGTCCACTAAGGCTTAACCCATTAAGGCGTAGCCCCTCCCGGATTTCCTCCAGTCTCATCAGCATAATGGTGTCCACACAAACTCGACGGTTTTCCGCCGAGGCGCTTGTCTCTCCTTCATCTGCCGACAATCCCTGAAGAGATCCCGGTGTATTCATCGGGGTATGTGGCCTCGTAGTACGCGGCGGCGTCGTAGGTCGCGGTGGAGTCGCTGGTCGTGGTGGTGTCGTTGGGGACCTGTGTCTCCGACGAAGACCATCCTCGTTGGGATCACGGTGCTCTCTCTGCCTCGGCGGGGTTGCCGTAAAGTTTCCCTGTAGGACTCTGGTAGTCGTCCCAGACAGGGGCGATGAGCTCGCCGATGACATAGGCAGGGAGTTCCTTTCGAGCTCCCTCTGTATCGCCCTCGCCGTAGCCTCCTTCAACTTCGTAAGCTTCCTCATCCTCCGTGAGGAGGCTCCCGGCGTGTAGTGGTAGTAGATCTCGGTCGCTCCCCATTTCACGGCCTCGTAGAGCAGCAATGCACCCAAGCACATCAACAAGCCCATAAACAATGCCGCCATGTCCCAGTCCATCTGCACATGCCTCTGAGGTGGCTGCTCATTAGTTGCTTCCACTGTCAGGACCAACAAGCAACATAGCATTGCCACCAACATCCTCGTTGTACATGCGCTCGTAGGTGTAGAGGTCGGTCGTTGAGTGCACTCCTCCTGAGATGACACCCCCCACAACGTCAAAAGCGATCTTATCCGCTGGCTGCTGAGTGGCTTTGTAAGTAGGTCCGCCGGCTGCGTGATTCCAGGCTGATGCCGGGCCTTAATGTGCCCGTGCGCGATCAACTCCTGCACCCACGCAGCCTTCAACTGCAAGTGGCAGGTGCGCCACGAACCAGTGCCTGACCCAATCGCCAGGGCACTGGTGCTGTCGCTCGCAACCTCCTTCAAGGATGGCTCCACATGCAAGTCCATGAGCATTGCTTCCAAACCCATCATGCCTATGGTGCCGTCGACAATGGCTGTGAGCTCGCTCTCCGCCGTACTCAGAGCAATCGTGCTCTGCCTCCCGCTCCGCCAAGCTATGGGTGTCCCAGCCCAGCATACCACCCATCCAGTATGGCTCTTCCCACTGCTGGGAGCAAACGCTGCGTCGGGGTACAACACCAGGTCGGTGGAGTCGTCCTTGATGGTCATCTTCAACTCCTTGGTAGCATTCAAGTAACGTAGAACCTTACATCCAATAGACCAGCATCTCATTGGGGCCTTCAGTGTAATTGACGCCATCAAAGAACAGGTAAAAGCCACATCAGGTCGTGACTTGTGGGCAATCCACATGATTTCCCCGGTAATCTTTTGGGCATTGGTCACTGCCTCCGGCGTTGGTTCCACGTCTGTTTCTTGCCATTCAAAGGACGCATGCTCCTTGGTTAGGGGGATCTTGTCTTGATCCTCCTCGGTGTACCCGTAGGAACGCAGGACTTCCTCTATGTAGCTCCGCTGGTTCACGTAGATCTCCGAGCCATCGCCACTGATCTCAAGCTCCATTCCCAGAAAACGTAGCGAGTGATCTGGCTGTAGGAACACCAAACCTGATGTCTTCCACTCGCCTTGTATGGTGTCCGCAACCTCTCTGATCGTCTCCTCCTCGCCGAGTAGTAGTATATCATCGACGTAGATAATGATGATCGCCTTGATGGACCCTCCCTCGTCCCTGAGCACCCACCAGGCTGTCACAGTGCGGCCTCGGTAAAGCCTCATCCCACGGGGAAAAGCCATTGCGCTTAGCACTTGGTCACGGTGGGCCGACCAAAGGGCTGGCGCCTGTCGCAAGCCGTATAAGGCCCTTATCAGGCCCCAAAGCTCGTCCTCGACGATGAGGTTCAGTCGTAGTAGAAGACGTGGTGGGCACACGATGATTGTCGGTGACCCTTCATCTGGGTTAAGCGGGGTCCGTAAGAAGGCCGCAACGACATCGATGAGGCCTACCATCCATCGCCGTTTTCTCGACATCACCAAACCTGCCCGCACCGCTTCGGAAGGTGCGGTCTCTGAATAGACCTCGGAGTGGTCGTTCATGGCATAGTTTCCGCAAACCACTAGTCTAGCTTTCCTTTTGAACCATGCTGTCCTGTCCGTGGGGCTTGGGTTCTCCGCTGGCTTCACGGTAAACACGAACTTTGCTGGAAGCCGTTGTGCACCTGGTCGCTGCATCCATACTGTCCGCTCCTTCGTGTTGGGAAGGAGCTTCTTGATTGCAACTGACACACCATCCAGCTCCTTCTGAATTGCAGGGAGCCACAGCGACATATTCTCAGCAACCTCCTTGGGATCTACATTGTAGGGGTGCCTTAATCTCCGAGAGGATCCCCTCGACGTTCTTGGTGTAGCCTGCCTCGACCTTCCCCATTCGTGGTTTTGGGTAGTCGTCGCAGGGCGGCTGATCATCTCCAATCTTGACCACTCCACCGTCAACATCAAGGAACATTTCCCATGTCTCATCCACACTGGGTCCAAACTCCTCCTCGGAAAAGTGCTCCTCCTCCGCCTTGGTTGCCGCAACCTCCAGCTTCTGCTCCTTGGGAACGGGGTCACCCTTCAGGAAGTACTCCGGGTACTGGGACAACGGTGGTTGAAAGCCCTTGTCCTCTAACTCCCGTATCATCTCTGCTGACAGCCTTCCCATGCACTGCGGTGTGTACGCTATAAGAACTGTCCTCGTACCCTCCCACGGAAGTACTTCATGAGCTCGTCGGGGAGAAAACACCATAGTCGAGCCCGGCTTCAGCTTCTTGATGTAGCCGAAACGTTTCCGTCCCTGACTGTCCACCCTGTCCATGATTTCCCCTTGTACTTGGTCACCTGGTAACAACTCCACCCACAGATCACCTCCACGCCTTGGGACAGAGATGGGGTAAATGTAGTTGAGCGCGCCCTCGTCGTTGTTGTAGTCCTTATGAAGACACCCAAATAGCTGTGAAGTTTGCCTCCGGGTTCGCTTCCAAGACGATCTGGGAGAGGACGCGCGAGAGCTCGGGGTACTGTTGGAGTCCTCGTAGCCAACCAACTGAGCCACCATGTCGAAAGACTCCAAACTTCCACTCATCAAAGAAGCCCGTCTCTGCCAACTCACTCACCAAGCGAACGGCCTCCTCCTGGTCCCATTCCTCAAATAGAAGCTGTGACCTCCTTACAATGTAGCTGTCCAGTTCCTCCTTCGACAGCCCCAGTTTCCTCAACTCGACCTGATCGATGGGCGTCTTCTCGGTCACACGTCTCCTCGGTTTGGGGGGCTGGACCTCCAACTCCTCCTGGGGTGGACCTGGGTCTGTAAGTCGAGGTCGCACATGAAAAGTATGTAGGAAATTCTCCTTGTTCTCCGAGTCGCCCTCAACGTACACCACGTGGCCATCTTCAAGGATGTTACTTAGGCCCATGTAAGCTCCCTTGACCCACTTCGACTCAAAGGCCTGCTCCCTCCTCAGAGGTCCAGCTGAGTCGAAAACCTTGCGTCTCACATGAACTGTAGCTCCAAACGGCGCCATGAGCTTGGACTTCCACCCCAGCACCCTTGAACGCTGAAGTGCTGTAGCCGCCTCTGCTGCTGAAGGCCACAACCTCGTTGGCAGCCGTGCCGCTGCTAAAAGCGTGCGGGCGTGATCCTTTACCCAACGAACGGAGTTTTCCGCTAGTCCATTCCCTTGTGGCTTGCCCGGTTCCGACCACGTTCCTCGGATGCCCTGGTCCCTGAGCCAGTTGCGAATAGCGTGGTTGTAGGTCTCGCCCTTGTCTGAATGTAGACGATAAACTGGGAGTCCTCGCGATTGAAGGTACAACACAATGTCCTGAATCGCGCTCTTAACAGACTGCGTGCCATTGTTGGGTAGGGGCCTCGCGAACAACAGGTAGGTGGACTCCGGAGACTCGCAATCAGGAAAAACCGTAGTCGCCCCATTATCCTTCTGTTGTGCCTCGTGCTCCTCCTGATCCTCCTCGTTGGCCGAAGGTTCATAGTCGGAGTCCTCGTAGTCGACGTATCCCTCTCGCTGAAGCCTCGTACCGCCCAGAAAAACCATCCACTCCATTCTGCTCTGACACAAACAGCTCTGGAAACGGACTCTGCTCACCTGGGTCATCGTCACGCACTGGTAAAGGACTCTGCTCACCTGGGTCATCGTCACTAACTTCAAACGGATCCCCCTCTTCGTGTGGTAGTGGTGAGTTCTTTGTCGTTGCCATTGGACGCTACTTGCTCTGGTAGTAGATCACGTTCCCCCTCTTCGTGTGGTAGTGGTGTAGAAGGTCCTGCGGGTTCTTTGTTGTTGCCATTGCCCTCTTCCCCATCACACTGCAGAACTTGTTCCCCCTCTCCGTGTGGTAGTGGTGTAGAAGGTCCTGTGGGTTCTTTGTCGTTGCCGTGGTCCTCCTTCCCATCTCGCGGTAGAGGGTGTAGGCCATCATCATCAGGAGGTTCCCGGCCTGTGTAGCCCTTGACAAACTCCTTCGGAAGAACATAGTGGCCCACCAGCATGTAGCGCAAGCCCTTTCCCATAGTTCCCTTCGACGATACATCAAGCCCTGGCTTGACTGGCCCAGCCACATCCACAGTGAGGTTAAACATGTCCGGTGACCTCACTCTCGCATGCCTCCGCCCCGTACCTCTCGACATCACACAAGTTAGGCACTCGCGGTGATATTCCGCGTGGTTGGACTGCACGTGCCTTCTCCACTGCTCCGTTGACATCGCCGCCACCGACGGTGCACTCAGTGGTCGCCGGTCCCAAAACCTCAAAGCAGTCACCATGGCCCTCACCAGCCCTGGCGACCAAGTAGATAGCATCGCTCCATCCTGCGCATTGCCAGGAGGGGCCTCATCCCTCCCCAAACCATTCAGCCCGAGAAGGTAGTAGACGTTTGTCCCAATCGTAGTAGGTACATTGCCTCCATGACGAAGGCCACCGGCCGGTCTTTGTTCAGGACTTCTCCTCCGTTCAGGACTTCTCCCCCTGAGCTTCGTGCTGCCTTTGCCACAGCGTACATCCACAACATCCTCACCATAGTCGCCAATGTCCTCGTCTTCCCCGGCAAGAGGTCGCCCTTGATGTTCCACATTCCTCCACGGCCTGGTGGGCCTCCCACAATCGCATCCAGCCTTCCCGTCAAGGCTCCCCATAACAGTAGCTTCCATGTACTATCGTTCATCACGTCGTGGGCCTTGCACCTGGACACGTCCAGCTCTAGTACAGCTGTGTTGCCCTGGTCGAGCTGAAACATCTGATAATGTCCAGGGTCCCCTGCATACAAATGGACAACCCACTTGCGTGCTGACCAGAGGTACCGCTTCTGGGGCCTTGTGAGAAAGTCCACACCCTTGAACACCTTCCATCCATCTTCACGTACTCCTGGTACAAGAAGTCCATCAAGGCATTCTCCTGGGAGTCCACGTAGAAAATCTGCATCTCGTACTCCTCGATATCCCTCCTCCAGGTTGCCTGTGGCCGCATAGCTCTGAAGATGCTCCTGCCAAGTTCGCTGCATTCGGCACGCTGCCATAGCCACTCTGTCCATGGTTATAGTGGTGGCATTCTCCAACTGCTCGCGGTTCTTATCTTCGAGATGGGAGATGATTGAGAGCGCTTCCGCCTCGCACAGCTGTGGGCACCCGGAGCTCACCGACAATGGCAGCTGTTCCCCTTGACCCGTCTGCAGGAAGCACTTCGTTGGTGACCACACCAGCGTGTAGCCCAAGGACTATTGTCTGGCCACCGGGTGGAGTACCTCCAGTGACCTCTGGGGTGTCACGCGGGGGCATTAGCAGAGTGCCCGTTGGATTCATTCTCATCCGCAAGGAGTTGTTGCCCGCCAGCTGAACCTGAACCTCCGTGGCCCGCTTCCATTCTTCTTGATCTCGCGCACTCCGTAGGCTGTGGGTCGCACCTGAATCCAGAAGGGCTGACGACGACGAACTCATCGCCGAGATTCGGATGTCCCTCACAACAAGCGTCTTGAGCTCCGGCCTCGTTTTCTAAGGAGACTTGTCCTCTCCCTGAGTTTGGGATTGGACTACTTGCTGGGCCGCTTGAATCAGCGACTCGAGTGTCCACGCGGTGCCCTGTATTGTTGAGGATGCCGAAGACGATGAGTCCAGCGTGGATCCCGCGGTGGCCGTTGTTGACACCGTTGACATAGCCGGCGTAGCAAGGCCACCCTTGGCATTCGCAATCGCTGCTGTAGCCGTCGGTGATGCTGCTGCCTGTGGTCGCTGTCCCGGTCGTCCTATTGGGCAGTCCTTCTGTCTGTGACTTTCTGCCCCGCAACTCAAGCACTTGCGGTTCCTCACCTCTCGCTCCAGTGAGCTCATGTTGTGTGCATATGCACACTTCGCTCCCCTTTTGCAGCCTTGGGGCTTGAGGAAGTATCTACACAGCTCACTGGACTTCTCCCGGTCCTTGTCCTTCTTGTTCGGTGACTGGGGTTTATCGAGTGCTCGTAGTCGCGGTGGATCCGTCACTGTAGTGGAAGATACTCGTGGTTGGCTTGCCAGCAGAGTCTCGATCTCGGCCTGGAGGTGCTTCTGGTAGGCGTAGACATTGTCCATTGATGGTTGTCCATCCAGTCTCAGGCTCGTACGCAACATGCTTGTCCTGAAGTTTGAGTCCGGTGCCCCTTCGATGTGGCGCGCCGTCAGTAGCTTCAAACCACGGGCCAGAACTGAGGGATCTGGCGGGGCCATACGCACCGCCGTACATCTCGACATCCACCTCGGCCATGCTCTCAGAACCCGTAGCACATTCTCCATTGTATCCGCCACGACGAAGTCGACCGGGCTTTGTAGTCGCCGTAGTAGGTCCTGCCGCTCTTTGCTGCCTCCAGGCTCATAAAGAGTGTGCAGACGGAACAGCATTCGCACCGTACTGGTAGACATCCTATGGGAGATCATGTCCGTCCTGAGCTCAGCGGTCATAGCCGAAAGAAGCATCGTGGTCACCCTCGCGTTCAGCCGGGTCCATTTGGTCTCTGACAGCTCCTGCCCAGCTGGTTGAATACTGAGCCGTTCTAGCGGAGTTGCCGCCAGCCATCTCTGGTAAGCATCGTCGACGACCTGGACCACGTCCCGCCACCAGACTGAGCTCTGGTCGCTCACATCATTCATAGCCGCCGTTGTCACCTCCAACCAGTCCTGGAATTGCAGCGACGCTTCGGCTCCTTGGCTTAGCTCTGGTAGCTGGGTTAGCGTAGAGGTCCCTGGCTTCAAGACCTCTGGTGATCCCGACTGTCCCTTCGCCATTGCAGCCGCTTGCAGCTCCTGAAGCTGCTGGACACCCCTCAGAAGAGCATCCATCATAGGTGAGTCCGGCGGGGACACTGAGGACCTCGGCGGCGGAGGTGATTGACTCCTCGGGCGTGGTTGTCCTAGGAATGAACGCAAGAAGCCTCTTCCCTCTGGTTGTAGTTGCGGTGGTGGGGTAGGAGCCGTCGGCCTAGGTTCCGGTGGTTGTACAGGAGGTTGTGGTTGTGCCCGCTCTAGTTCTCGGTAGACTTGGGCAGTTGTACTTATCTGCGCTGGATGTAACCCTCCTAGCTGCCCTGCAAGTACAGACAGAGGATCCCCAGGTGGTACTCTAGTGAGTGCTGGTACTGTTGGTGCTCCTGGTAGAGGAGGGGGTTGCCGATGAGGTTCCATAAGATCTCCTCCTGCAGGTTGTCCAGCGTGATCATGCGGTCCCCGAAGTAGCGCGGCATCATCTCGCAACTGCCGTGCATGCTCCAAGGACCTCTGGGTAGACTCCAGCTCGAACCTCAGCTCGTTGTTCTGTTGCTCGGCAGTCTGTAGTCTTTCCAGAAGCCCACCAAGTTGACGCTGTACCTCTGCCTGAATGGCCTCCTGAGGCAGGTCCGAAGAACTCGGTGGAGTTGGTGGGGGCAATGGCCGCATCGCCCTCACCGGCGACCGCAACCTGAATGTAGGTCCTCCAGGCGGGTTCGGTGTAGCACTGCTTCCAGCCAGCGGGCTAGGCAGCGTCTCCATGTGTCCCACACTCAAATAGGATCCCAAACGTGAGACCCATCGCGGCACTTCCAGCCCTGTTATCCAGCTTGGTTGCGGCCCAGCAGCCGATGCCATAGATCTTGGTGTCATATACTCCACAGAGCCAGCTGTTGCGTAGGTCCTCCCGGCACTAACTTGGGGCTCAGGGCGGCCGTCCAGTCCTGTAGTCGTAGTAGGCAGGTGTAGCCTCTCCTGCCGCAGTCGTGATTCGTTCCCCTGCGCTTCCCCACTTGCCGTAGGAAACTCTCTCGAGCTGCCCGTCAGTGCCGTTGCACCCGCAGCCTCCATCGCTGCAGTGCCACTCACCGGGCCCTGCCCGTCTCCTTGCTGCTCCGCAGATCGTCGTTCCGGCTGAACGCTGCAGCCCGGTAGCTGGGCTTCTCCAGATCCACGAGGTGCATCCAGATCTACCCCGTTCGCGGTAGGCGCAGGTCCTCGAGCTTGGGCGCTCATAACCTGTTGAAGGATTTCTCTATCCCCTTGGGTTGATGGTTCCACCATCTCGAATTCAGTTGGCCATGGCTTATGGTTGCATGGCACAGCGACTCTTTTTACGACAAGCGAATGTCCTTCAACTGCTGTGTTTGACATGTCTATACATTCAGCCTTGACAAGTCTGTCGCTAGGTTGTACAAGTTTGCGAACTGTTGCCTTGTCTGCTGACTGTTGTCTTTGACAAAAACTCCATGACTCAAGGGCCTTAGCGTAGCCTTCCCTTGGGTCGAAGCGGCGAATCACTGCACGTCGTCCTGATCGGCTGAGGGCTGCTTTCACAGGTTTAGGGGTTTAGGGTTTAGGGGTTAGGGGTTTAGGGTTTAGGGGTTTAGGGGTTTAGGGTTTTTGCTTCACCAGGCTCCTATCAGTGCTCCTGTCAGGGCAAGGTTGACCCAAGCTTTTTGTTTTCCCTATTTGCAGATTTGGGTTTGGGGCAGATTCGGGCTGCGGACTTCTAGGCTCTTTACCGTGCTGTGTGCCGCCTAGGGTTTCGGCAATCATTTCCGCTGGTGTTGCTTCGGTTCATTCTTTTGCAAAGCATCAAACCCTAAACCCTGAACCCTGAACCACCAAGATCAGGCTTTTTCTTTATTCCAGTCGTCCCACGACGATGGACGACTTCAATTCAACGCCCGGCGCTGAGAGACTTGATCCGCCATTGTGAGGCATCCGTTTCCTAGGCTCCGTAGAACTTGCAACCTACAATCTGAAGGCAAAGGGGAGAAGTTTAAGAGTGAAGACTCAAAACAGGTCTTCAACGGCAGTGCGGGTTTTGAGACCCACAGCCCTCAAAGCCAAAGCCCCGAACTCAAATCCTAGAAGCCTAAGCCTAAACCAACTACTATCCGACCCCCCCACAGCTCAAACACAGCACCGTTTCAGACCCTGCAGCATTGAGCCCTAAAGCTCTGAAGCCCGACATCCTAAAGGACAAACAGTAGCAGCGAGTCCTCAAACCTTCTATAAGCAAGTCATGAGGAATCGCACACGAGAGCCGTCTTGCTAGGTCTAGGCGTGGGCGCCCCGCTAAAGCCTCTGAGCTTTTTTGTTGTTGAGGCCTTTATGGCTCATTTCAGGAGAGCCTACACCTCAGAACCCAAAATCCTAACCCCCTACACCCCGAAATCCCCACACCCCAACTCCCTACGCCCTACCCGAGGCCTTTATGGCCACCACTGCTTGCGCACGAAGATCGGGGCAGTGAGACTTTCTGCACGCCGGCACCGGTTCCAAGTCGTTCAGGCGGCTTACATAGGCAGTTTCGCAGCTTTTGGGCCTGGTGAATGGATTCTTCGGGTGATTCCGAGAACTTGAGGCTTAGGGGCTATAGGCTAGGCCGAAGAGATGGCAAGCAACTCTGAGGCCCTGTTTCAGCTGAAATTGCCGCGTGCTTTTGAAAGGCACAGGCATAGGTGCCCAGGCGGTTAGCCGGCCAAAATGTCACTGACCGTCAATTTTGACTGCAGGTTTTGTTATTTCAACCCAAGTGGGAGGCGTTTTTCCGTTCCCTCTAAGAGGGCCCTGCTCAGCCGGTACCGACAATCCGGGCGAAAGGGCCTAGATTTAAAGATTCGGTGCTGTCGGTGGCGTCGGTGCTCACATCGGTGCCGGGCGGCCGAGATGCTGATGGGCCCTATACTCTTGGCATAGCAATAAGAGTTGGGCTTTGGGGTTTTTAGGGTCTTTTGACGGAGAAAAAACTGTATGCTGTCCTTCGAAGCTACTGGGCGTGGTGCGAAACGGTACCATGTCAAAACGGGACGCTTCTCCGCGGGTTGCCGCACAGTTCGACCTACGAAACGTACAGACCCGAAGGGCACGGCCTCAGGCCGCGCCCCCTCCGCTGTGCACAGCGCCGCGGAAAGATGAGGGTCGCAGAGCTCAGATTGCTCAGGCACACATCAGCTATAGACTTGTCTAAAGCCGGTAACACCTAACAAGCGTTCGATTGAACCCCGCAACCTCAAATTGCTCGGCAAGGTTGTCGAACGAGTGAGAACCCGCTTGAATAAAACCCTAAAGCCCGAAACGTCAATCAAAAGTTGCAGTAAGCCCAGTGTTTCGAATTTTTTAGGCTCGAGTTTCGGGGATGTCGATTCAGGACTTAGGTTTGTTTTTTGTGTAGGGGTCCTGAGAGAGTCACGTCGACCTTCCTTTCGCTCAAGGCCCTGTGTGCCATCCACGGGTTTCATGAAACCCAAAACGCTCAAAAAGTTCATAGGGATGCCTGGATTTCAGACCTCTAAATGATGTATGTCCCAAAGTGTAAGGCTCTCGGGCCGAAATACTCCGGTCCTTTACGAAGAGGATCATGTTTTGTCCGCAAAACCTAAACCCCCAAAATTCCGGTCCAGAATCCCAGCTCTTGAAGCCGAAACCCTAAACCCCAGCTCAGAGTCCATGCACAATACCCCAAACCCGAAACGCTAAACCCACTAACCGGTACTAGCCCTTGTAGTAGCCCGGAGACCCTTGTAGTAGGAGCCCTTAAAAGAAACCCTGAAATGAAAGGAGCCCTGAAGGGAGCCCTTAAGAAAGCCCTCATAGGCACTGCCATTGGGGGACCCCAGCCATGGACCGCCAAGTGGCTCGGATGCAAGGGCGCACTATTATTCTATGCGATACTAATCTGCACTTTTTTGTATTATGGTGTGTATATGTATGTATGCATGCATGCATGTGATTGTTATATTAAAGAATGAGGCTAGGGTTCAGGATTTTGGGGGCTACAAGACGGATTTTGCGATGTGAAGCAAGGCCTCAGAAAGGCGCGAAGCTAGTTCAACATCGCCCTTCGCCTGTGGATCATGTGCTTCATCTGGACCTCAAGAACCCTCAACCCTGAACCTCTGAATTCTAAATCCCTGTCCTCTCAGCCCTAACTTTCAACCCCATGTCGAAACCCCGACCCTAAATTCCTAATTTGTCAGCTTTACACCCGAAGCCCAAGCCCGGACCCCATGGCTCCTAAGCCGAAAAGGAGACCTTAAAGGTGCACAAGCCCTGAACCCTAAACCCAGAAGAGGAGACCTTAAAGGCTCAAGGCTACCTTTAGGGGTTCTTTTAAGGGTAGTATAAGGGTTCCTTCAAGGGATCCTTTAAGTGTTCCTTTAGGGGTGCTATAAGGGTTCCGGTAAAGTTTAAAGGTGCCACCTTGCGGCACCGGACGCCCAGGTGCACTTCGTTGCCGGGGCGGAGGCCCCGGAGGGGCGCCGGCAGAGCCACGGAGCAGAAGGCGAGTTTTGGGGTTTTGGGGTTCAGGGTGCGACTGTCGTGGGGCCTGGGGTTTTGCACACCACACTTTCGCATACTTTTGGGTTTGGGGTGGAGGGTAGTGGGTTTAGGATTTTTAAGGGTTCTGTGGAGTTCTTCAGAGTTTACACGGACTTTTGGAGCTTTTGGTTCTTGAAAGGATTTTGGTGTCGGAGATTAGAGTTTAGGGCTCTGCGGATTCTGTTTTTGGGGTTAGGGTGAAGGGTTTGACTTGGGGCGGCTAGGGTTTCCGGACCTCTTAAGGGAGTTCAAAGCATAGTGCTGGCAGGTAAAGTAGAAGTGGGAGTAATTTGTAGTAATCTTACCTCCTGGCGTCTACATAGGAGTTTCCGCAAGTAGGGGACCCTAATATAGTATCCTAAATGGTAGGATCCTTATCATAAGGACCCCAAATAAGGTACACTTCATTTTCGGAAACTCTCACATGATTAGTTGGAATCATAGCAAATATGGACCCGCCTTCTGCAGGTCTCGTCGCTGGGGCCTCGGGCGAGGGGGTCGTGGCTGGCAACGAGCTTTGGAGACGTGGGTTTCGGGGTTTTGGCTTTAAGATGCTTTAAGGCTAAGAGTTTAGGGTTGAGGAAGGGTCACCCTCCTGACCTTCGGACTCCCGAAGCTTCAGCCCAAGACGATATAAACAAACCCCTAAACAAAGCACTTTGAACTCGGACGTCCGAGGCCAGCAGTAGGCCCATGGTAGCAGAAAGGCAGTGCGAAACCCTGAACCGTAAAGGCTAAACTTGAAATCAGAAGCCCTTCAGGAGCTCTGCAGAGCCCCACACCAATCTTACAACAGCTCTAGAGGCCCCCAAACCCCAAATCCGTTCAGAACCCCACGACACGCACCATGGAAAACCCCAGCCCGGTTAAGGTTCCTAAACCCCAAAATCCGGATCAACCTACTGTCCGGTTCTTAGAAGGGAATGGGTGGATGGGGATCCTTATGATAGTCCCCAATAATAGTCTCCATAATCCATTCCCCCAGTCCCTACTAAGAACCAGATCGACAGATAGATCCCTTATAGGAACCCTTAAGGGAACCCTTATAGATCCCTCAACGGAACCCTAGATATTCCTTAATTAAGAGATCCACTCAATAACCAGACAGTGAACCTCAGGTCCATGCACGCAAGTCGGAGGTCGAAGCTGCCCGATCCTTACTGAAGCGCGCGTTGCCCGCGCTCCTGGCGCTCCCTGAAACCTCCAAACGGTTGTTCCCAGAGACTCCAATATCCCTTAATTAAGGAATATGCTTCAACTTAGAGTAGGGTCCCTGATATGATTTAAGGTCTGTTCCTTGATTAAGGGATATTGGAGTCTCTGGGTTTGCGGCACTTGCCCCGTTTGGTTTCTGCATAGAACTATCTGTTTTCAAGCGGGTTTGGGCCACTTGCCTTGGCGGGCCTACACCCAATCCGGCCTTCGATATAAGCAAGGAACTCAGAGTCCAGGTAGCGGGGTTGCCTGCAGTGCATTCGGGGCACAGCAACTGCAATCCACACCAGGGGGTACTGGCACAAGATTGACGGCGGGGGCAGGTCGGGAACAGCTGGGGCAAGTGCGACAGTCTGCACAGGTTAGGCAAGTCGCGAGGATATTCCCGGATCCGGGGATTGGGGGTGTTGGGAGGTGCTCGTGAACCCAGAGACTCCAATATCCCGTATTTAAAGAATATACCTTAAGATATAGTAGGATCCTTGATATGATTTAAGGTATACTCCTGAATTCCCTTA